AATATTATGATACAACTGTATCCATTTTTAACCTTTCAAAGTAGCTCTTCTCTTTCAAAAGCCATTGAGCTCATCCACAAGCTTGTTAAAGAAAAATACGTCATTACAATTTTGTTTCAAGGTTTTATTTCCCCTAATTGGCTTTCTGTATTTGCATGAAATGGTAATCAGGATACTGTTGTACAATATGGCTTTTCTGTTTTAATGCTACAAAAATAATAATGTCGTTGAAGAATTATATTGTATTGCGTTGTCTTTGTAGGTGGATTCATCAACAGCCTACAAATGGCCACCGCTGAGCAAAGCCTCTTTTCACACGGATAAGGTTTGAGCATTAATCACCACGCTTGCTCAATGCGGGTTGGCGATTATAAACTTATAATTAGAAATTATAAGCCCAGGTTTCCTCACGATGTTTTCCTTCACCGTTTGTCAGTGGTGGCTAGATATTCTTAGAAAGTATATGTAACTCGGAAAAAGTCACATTGGTACTTGACATTGGCAGGTTTCGCAGCCGCACCCTCATGCATGAGAAGCGGGCGTCTTAAACCTCCGGACAACTACGACATGTAGCAGAATTATGACGCTACTATTATTAGTAAAGTAAGTTTTTAACTGACTCCAAAAAAGGAGATTCCCAATTTGATTTGTATGTATGTATCTCCTATCCATGTTTATGCGCAATTACCTCTTATTTGGTTGATTCGATTTTGATGTGGTTTTCAGCTAAGTATTTGTTACACTTACATATGAGAAGGTTTAGTATATTAATTAATCGACTTCGAAAACAGACGGGTTTGAAAACGTAGTTTTGTAAAATAATTATGTCAAATAGTATTTTATATTGTTCTAGATAGGTATTATTTACACAAATCTAGTATTTACAAGTGATAGACAGACAGATGAGATGATTTTCGACAATAGCAGTCGAACATCATATCTTAAATTGTATCCCCAAATTGAAACGAAGACTATAAGTATACAAAAAACTCAAAAGATTCAAAGTCCTACGTAAACTTATTGGCAGAGACTGGTCCTGATTTTAGAATTCGTGGTTATCCTGATAATTAAAAAAAAACTGTGATGAATGGAACCAAAAGCCTCCAACTTGACACCTATATTCTACCCATAAAGCAAATGCCACAAAAATGTGTCCTGAAAACAAATATGGCGTCTTCATAAAAAGCCTTTCAACTTAATGATTCAGAACCTAAAGTCTCATTTCGCTTACAGAGCAATCACGACGTTCTACTAACAGAAAAGTTGTTCAGTAATTATTTATATCTTTCTCCAAAGTTGGACAAGACTTTGGGTAGTCTTAAAGTTGAGACCAATGATGAATAGCCACTTTGTCTTAATTATTGTTTCATTAATAAAAAAGTGATAAATCACTGGCTCGTTGGTCGAGTGATCGCAAGTGCCAGGTCGCTCGATTCCCAGGTCGGGCACAGTATTACTGGGTTTAAAAAAAATATATCAGGGTAGCACGGCGTTTGAAATGGTAAACGGTATATAGCAACAGGCTCACTCCCTATTACATGGGACTCATAACATAAACAGTGAAAAGTGGGTGTTACATTGTACAGTGGCATTAAGTGCCTTAATGTGCACCTCTGACTAGGGTCTCCGGGAATAAAAGGCGTGATATTATTTTATGTAACAAAAAAGTGATAAATCACTCTAATTGTTTCAATTGTCTTCATAAGGAAGTTGGTCCTAATTGCATGGTGATTTTGTTTGACTAATTGAGGTGTCATCTGCATGCTTTTGTATGTAACTCATAACAGAGGCGTGGCAACAGATAGCTGCTTACTGTGTAGCTCATACGACACAATTGTACATATAAAATCCACGAATTGTTTTTATAATAACAATAGGCTGCGCGACATCGCCGCGACCGCGCTGCTCATGTAGAAGATCCCCCTCTGTGGTTCGAAACTAGTAGAGCTTTTCTCATTATATTCACGTGAATGACCCGCAATTTTTAGTTAATTTAGTTATTCCACGACATGTTGTTTTTTTCAGTGTTAAATATTATTTTCCACGGACGCCTAATCCGTGCCCTTGTCATCCATTTTTTTTTACCTATGTTATATACCTACTACTACCTATTTACTACCTATTTATTATAAGAATAAATTACACAATTAATTATAATCTATTTATATCTATTTCGCTCCGCTCTACGAAATCAGCATACCAACACGATAGTACAGCCGACCTGACCCATCAGAAAGCATTCGTTCACGACTATGACGTGTGTGTCAGCAATTGGTCCGGTCAACCTTTTTATTGGGAACGGAACAACCCGACCTGCTTGACGACTCAGCCTTTGTTACGTTGGTTAATTCCAACAGAGCTTACAATCGCCCACGAATTGTTTGAAATTGTTGTTTTTTACACATTTTCACTCTTAATATACAGTTCAAATTACTCCTTGTACCAATTCGGTACAATTCGATCCATTTAACAATATTTTATATTATGTAATGCGTATTAAGGTTTTAGATTAACAAATTGATTAATATATTTCTAAGGTTACGTACCGGGAATGTATTAATAACTAAAATAATAATGACACCACATGACTTTCAATTTATACATTTTCATTTTACCTGGAAATTAATTATTTGTCTATTTTACCTGGAACTTAATTCCATATCCCATATGCCATATTAAAAGTACCATTTACTGACGAGCTTGCATGAAAAGACTGATGACTGTTGAGGAAGCGAAAGAGGTGTGTAAGAATTATAGCAATTGACGTTCCATAGTCTCTGCCTCACTCCATGGGAGACAGATAAGGTAATGAATGAATAATTTCATCTCCAAAAATTTTTGAGACATTTTTAGGGTGTCGTTTTCTTTTAATAAAAAACCCTATAAATACATAAAGATGGAAAAAATTTTTTTTGAGACTCACATTATTGGAAACTTCATCAGTGCACGTTTAAAATTCTTTTCATTCCCACCGGGTTTACGCGCGCACATTAGGATTCATCCGATATTGTTTTCCGATACATGTTTTCGAAATAGCTGTTTTGCCCTACATATACTTCTGTTGATTCTTTTTTCGTTTTATTTGCCCGTAAAGGAGTTGGGTGGGTTATGTAATTGTGTTTTTTGGCTTTTGAATTGTGAATTAGATTATAAGTTTTGGTATTGGAATGTTGATGGTTGGAGTTTTCTAAGAAGAGTAGAAGATGGTTGAGAAAAATAATTATTGAGAACCATAAAGAAAAGAGAAGCAATGTCGTGGTGGCCCGGAGGTTTAAGACGCCCACTTCTCATGCATGAGAGTGCGGGCTCGAAACCTACCAGCGGCAAGTACCAATGTGACTTTTTCCGAGTTATATGTACTTTCTGAGATTTTTCAGACACTACTAACAAACGGTGAAGGAAAACATTGTGAGGAAACCTGGGCTTATAATTTCTAATTATAAGTTTGAAATCGCCAACCCGCATTGCGCAAGCGTGGTGATTAATGCTCAAACCTTCTCCGTGTAAGAAGAGGCTTTGCTCAGCAGTGGGCATTTATAGGCTGTTGATGATAAAGCAAACTTGTAACATTTATATATGATCGGAATTTAGTTAATTACTTTCTTTAAATAAAACAGAGTCATACATTCCACAATTGAGTTGGTACAACATTTTTGGCAAAGACCTACTCCCAGACGATTTCTAATCAACTATACATGTACCTATCAATATCAATAGAACTCGAAACTAAAATAAAATTAACGTACCATATAACTAGTACCTAACTAATCAAGAAAAAGTTGATAAATTAATTAAAATTAACATTTGAAGCAATTTAACTTTACTCGCAAATTGTCAACTGAAAACTCAAATTCGCCGCCCACTACTAATAATAAGTTATCTAGCTTGCTACCTACATCAGTTTGCTAAGTAGCACAATAGGTACTAACCTATACATTTCACAATTTCCATACACTGTTTACTAAGACAGTGTATGAAAATTAAAAATGTAATTAGTCCGTCAGTTAGATAATGAAAAAATATTAGACACATATTTTTTTATTTTGTCGTATAAGAAAACAAACTTAGATAAAAAAGAAGTTAAGTTTAGGAGTGCAACGTCGATACGTCACGCTACCCTATAAAATGTAGAAAATCGTGGCACGTCACACGATATTTCAAATCAACATATCATCGAAAGTATTTAATTTTATAAGAAAAGAAAAAATACGTGTATAATAATTTAAAATAATCTACCAGACGGACATTAAAATAAAATTTAGTACACTATCCTATTATATTAGTATGGCACCTATATATAGGCCTTTGCCCTACAGTGGGACAATCATGGCTGAACATAGATAATAAATAATAATACCCTATTGTATTGGCATTCGATAAAACAATTAGGGCAAGTTTACTTAGTTATTGATTCGCCTATTCTCGTTATCTAAGACCTAATTGTTAGGCATTGGATGCTCCCTAACCCGATTAAGAGTTTGTAAGTTAGGAGAAGTTTTTGTGTATTCAGGACATATTGTATTGTTGTATCGTTTGGAGAATTGAGATAAGCTTTGATTATTGAGATTAAGTAAGATTTTTCGTTATATATAACGGAGTTTTGTAAATTATCCGAAAAGATTTTTCTACAAAACTAAATAAATATATACGGTATACGATTTTTGTAATGTATATTTTTTTAAATAGTAACTTAGGTCCGAAAATGTTCACCAAAATTCCATTCCTTTACCAATTTTTATTTCTTAGTCAGTATTCTACATTAAGCAGTATCAACATTGTATATCAATCAGTCAGTCAGTAAAGAGTTTTATATACTTGAACCTACATATATATTGATTTAGCTTTCCTTCTTTGCACTTCTAACTATACTTTTCATACTTCTCCATTCACATAATAGAATATATTTTTTCTTAGAACACGTTTAATGGTATAATTTCCATGCAAATTGCTGCTAGGTTCTAATCTTTACCCACCTGAGGATCCATTGATGTCCATAGCCTTCAGGTTCTAGCCTTGATGACGGTGACAGTCAGTCGGCCCGCAGTCGGCAGGTAGCACAGCGAGAGCATCAGCTCGCCAAGGTCTTTCTTCTCCTGTTAACAAAAAATATTAACATGAAGTTTCCCAGTCTTTTCCTAACTAGGTAATGTGTTGCTGAGTCTTAGCCAGATTCTATTGAAAGTTACTATTATACGTGGAACAATTTCTATTTCTATGAAATCGACATCACAAAACGTCAGTCAACCATAGTACAGACGCGCATACTGCGGTACTTTGGCCATGTGTCCCGGCGTGATAGCAATTTCATAGACCAGCTAGTCATTCAGGGGAAAGTAGAGACAACCAGATCATCAGGCAGATCACCGATGCGCTGGACTGATCACGTCAAATCGGCAAAGGGAAACCAAGACTGCGTCAGACAATCCACAAACTGGAAGAGATAGCGGGAGATCGTGAGGAAAGCAGTATCGGCCTCCAACACAAATATGTACGTATTGTACGTCCGCCTCAACGTGACGGTGGCCACAACGTGACTACGACTACTCTGCCAAGAGCGAAACGATAGAGATGAGAAGTATTACTATGTGTCCTCTGAAACTTGCTAACGCTGATACATTCTTGACATACGATCTTTACACTAACGATGAGGACATGATGAAAAGCCATTTACTACACTTTTAGGTACACAAGATGAATCTTGTATAACATCTATTTTCCTCCAGTTATATATTAATCTAATGTTATACGGGGTAGAAGAGACATGGAAGAATTTCGAAACACTATTTTGTTCAGACTCGCAAATTGAGTATGTAACCTCTTGCGCAGCGTCTTGTTAGGACTACAACAAACAAAACTGTTATAACAAAAAATATACCTCAAGAAAAAGCTTTTATATAAGAGAACAATATTATGAAGAAAAATTACTCCGCGGTAAATTTAATTAGGTAGAGGAAACGTAACGTACAGGTGTGTGCACACTGGGAGCATTTTAGCAACGTTCTAGAAAAATCACAATATGGTCTATTTTGTAATTATTGTGTGGCCTTGAAAAATTTACTTTGTTGATATAATTTGAATTTATAAAGACGTCTCAAGGTCGATTTTCAAATTGAAAAAATATTTATTGTATTTTATGAATCGCAAATTTTTCAGTGACGGAATAGAATTTACGTTCGTGCTCAGAGTATGGCAATAAGTTCTATTCAGCATTGCTCTAGCTTGCTACAAGGGAGAGATTAATTACAAAACATGTGTGAGTCAACGCTAGACTAACTGAACCCGAGCGAAGCACAAGCGGCGCCGTTCTCGACTTCGTCGTTCGCAGCATCAAGTGGGGATGTAAACAAACCTACAACGATCACTATCCTTGAACGTAGTTTTCAGCAATGAGTGAGCGTAGTGAGCACTGTAAGCGCGAAGCAGTTTCCCTTTGTGTTCGTTAAAAAACCGACAACAGGCGGAACGAGCCGAGCACGGACGAAATGCTCGCAGCGCGTTCGTTCGAGGCTTGTAAGTCGGTCCATACTAAGCGAATTGTGTTCGGCTCGTGCTTCGTTCGTGCTCGGCTCTCCTAGCATAGACGCAGCTGTTACCAAAATGTATCATATTATGTAGACAAGAAAATATTTTCCCTTAGTTTCAATGTCTAAGCGCCCTTACTTGCTCACATGGAATATAATAATTAACCTGTCGATACAATGATATATTGTTTGTCCTTATTACGGGTACGAGGACTGAGTATATTGTATACCCCGGCTTTGTTTAAAAGGAATACATTTCAAAGATTCTGTGAGAGAAATTGAATAATGTTTCAATACTAGGAAAAAATATTTTTTAAATGTTCAATATTTACAAATTATAAAACTTACACTATTTAATTTTAATAAAAGCCATTGAAGATTATTAAATCAAGAACAACGTGCAAAAAAAATTTACCAAATCAATCTTTTAAATAGTATTTTACATTTTTTTCAAATTTTTTAGTACACCGTCCTAAAAACACAGGTTTTTAAAGAGAGTAAGGAAAAATTATAAAAAGTAACGATTTAAGTTATTACTTTTTAAAGCAGCTAATAACTTTTATCATTAAACTTTATGATTTTGATTATTGTACTTTGTTGTAGTTAAAAAAGAAATAACATAACATAACATCACCCCTTTTATTCTCTATGGGGTAGGCAGAGGTCTACATTATGCCACTGTACAATATAACACCCACTGTTCACTATTTATGTTATGAGTCACTATTTATGTAATAGGCCATATTGCCATACCGGGCACAATTCCAAACTCCGTGCTGCTACTGAGATTTTTTTTTAAACCCAGTTATGCTTTGCCCGACCCGGGAATCGAACCCGAGACCCTTTGCCCGGCAGTCGCACATGCGACCACTCGGCCAACGAGGCAGTTGAGGCAGGCAAAAAAGAAATAATGGAATGAAATAATATTCACAAATACAACTTATGGTTCATGGCAACTTATAACATTTGATTGGCTCATATTGAGTTTTTCACTAACTGAATGCCTCGTTGGCCGAGTGATAGAACTGAAATATCATGTGACATGATGTTTATGAAATACGTAATAATATTGGCTATGTGCGCGACGGTGGCGACGCGTAGCGTTTACAACATTCACGGAAGCCGTCAAATAATAACAATGTAAACATTATAATTTTCTTTGCAAATATAAATAAAACCAAAGATTAAAATAGTTTAGTTGGCATTATTTAAGTGCAATTTATTCAATAGTTTTACTTTAAAATGAATATAGAGGTAATAATAAAAACCGGGTTTCCAATTTCTGCCGTGTTGTGCGCTGCGGTCGTTATCTGTCCGCCACGACTCGCTTTGCACAGAGCGTGACATAGAGCGTGACCAAAAGTGATGAAAGGACTTAACTTCAGACCGAAATATTCCTTGTCTAGACTTACTATCATGTCTGTAGAGGTACATAAAATAAAAAGGGTTAGACACTAAAATATGAAGCAGAAGAACTAAATAATACAAAATTGTCCGACAATTTAAAGCTTGTTAAAATATTAGAGAATATTTAAAATCACTCAAAAACTTAATAAACCGTCTGGAATATAAATTCCAAAAAGCATTTCAAAATCAAAAATTTTAAAGTGAAATTGCTCGAAATTTAACTAAAAATATGCTTTATTGAGATTCACTCCAAAAGTTATTAGAAATTATGACTTAACTAATTATAGTAATAAAATCTACTTTTGTATAGCACGTGTGTGCATTAAGAGGGATTAAATACTCGTCAATAAATGGCAGCTGGCAGACTTGATCCAATCGTAATTAATTTTATTAAATGGTCGGATTAAATAGAAACTTTTTTTAATAAATCTTTGTACAGTTAATAATTTTAATTTGAATTGAAATAAGTATGCGATGATCTCTCATTACTTTTTTCTTGTTGCATCTCAAAAATAATTATCATCATTATCAACAGCCTATAGGTGGCCACTGCTCACTAAAGATCTCTTAATGCGGGTTGGCGATTTCAAACATATAATTAATAATTATAAGACCAGGTTTCCCTCACGATGATTTCCTTCACCGAGCGCGATAAGCCAGCGTCTTAAACCTCAGTGGCCGATAAGACACTCGCTCAATCATAAATAATAATAAATAACTGCATTTTTAGGCATCTTTACATTATTAGTTAATGTATTTGTGTTCGATTTACAACAGGGAATAAAACGAAACCATAACCAAAAAAGATACACAAACTAAACCGATTATAAGACATATCAGTACAACATGAAGTAAAAGCATTTTATTGTATCAATATTAAATTCAAATAGATACAATCATTATCACCCAAGACAGAACCCAAAAAAGTCAAAATTACAATAAAAAATAATAATTACACCTCACGACAACACGAAAAACGTTTCAGAAAAGTTCTACAACCACAATATTGAACATACACATAACTTCTATATAGAATAACACGGAAGCTTATATTATCTTAATGTCCCATCAAAATAACCTTGAGAAATTAGGTCACCTGTTTTATATTCACGACACCACACCTGGGAAGGTGTAAGATAAAAGACGTAACCTTCGCGATTCAAAGGACCAGAAAGCAGTGACATGGCTTTTATTCTCGAAGGGTAAAAGTGACTGTGAGTTATCCCCTTTATGATTTTGAGTGGTTTTGAGTCGGAAGTCAGCCTATTGCTGTATACAAGACAGTGATTTTTAATTAGTAATTGTTTCTTATTTACTGCCTCATACCAGACTTTAGTGTTTCGGTGTTCGCGCTTGTATCGAGTTGCTTCTGTTTGGTAGGTTATGGCCGATGGGGCCCATAAAAACCTTCACTTGGCATCTTACCTAAAAGTTATCCTAATCCAGTTCATCTAAAAACCTAATAATACACCAACCTGCAATCAATTTTGAGACTTGGCAATCATGCTTGCGACCACCCAATCAACGAACTAAGCAGAAACTCGAAGGACCAAAAAGGACCGAACACAGTAAGAAATAGACAATGATTAATGAGTTTGGTCCTTCGGTCCTCGCCTAAGGCTACAACGATATTCACCCTTGTGTACGGGTAAATCAAATTAATTGAAAGAATATTGCAACCATGATTAATTATATCGAGTTATTGAGATGTCATAATATTGTGAGAACATTTTGATTGATTTTTTAGGTATTTATTGCTGAGTCAAAGATTTTTTGGTAATACATTAAGATGTCAAGATTTCAAGACTCAGCCTTCAAAATGTTTGATATATCATACTGTAGTTTAGATTAATCTTAACTATAGATTAATAGGGTTAAAACAAAAGAAATAAGGAGAACACGATATCCTTTTTTAATAGGTTCCACAGAATTAGACAGAAGCAGTATCCGTTACGTACACTACCATAAAACTATTATTTTTTCTTACCTGTGGAGCAGCCAGGATATTCATGGTATACTCAATCTCCTGGTGAAGGTCAGCAGACTCCAGCAGACCCTTGAGCACAACGTGACCGATAAGATCATGTCGGCTGAACCGATCAAAGTCATACACTGAGAACTGGATGTAGCGCTGACGAAGCTCTTCGTATGGAACGCTGTGAAAAGAAAAATGGGTTAGATGACAAGAAAAATGGATTAATTAACTTAGTGTTAGTTTGTTATTGTTGTTTTCAAAGAGGAATACACATTTATATGAACTTTCCTTTCGATATAACATTTGATACCACCATGATTGATATAATTTGGTCCTTTTGCAAATTTGGACAAAATTCATTGCTGTTACTCGATACTAAGCAAACTAAACTTTCATAAATCAAAGATCTAATAAAACTTAACCTCTGTTCTACCAAAACGAACATAAAATTTTTGGTTGTTGATCAATGAGACGGTCTGAAGATTTATTACCAATACTTAAAATATAGAAAATTCTAAGTACTACAAAATGTTGTTTCTAAGAGTGCACTACGTCTCAAGAGTATCGAAGAAATTGATACTTGAAGTGAGAGGAAAGCACTTGAATGCGACTGATCGAAATGGACCCTAAAGACTGCATGCGTTGAATTTTTATGATCAGAACAGCATCGAAATCATTTTTCAAGTGTCAATCTGCATTTTTTTTATTAGTCATATTATGGTAAGAAAAGTCTTAACTGTATTCTTCTGTCTATTTATATAAATCTGAGCTGTACCTAAGAAATAAACTTTTATTTTATGTTAATTAAATTACTTATTGGTCGAGTAGTCGCAAGTGCGACTGCCGGGCAAGGGGTCTCGGGTTCGATTCCCGGGTCGGGCAAAGTATTACTGGGTTTTTAAAAATTCTCAGTAGTAGCACGGAGTCTGGAATTGTGCCCGGTATATGGCAATAGGCTCACCCCCTATTACATGGGACTCATAACATAAATAGTGAAAAGTGGGTGTTACATTGTACAGTGGCATAATGTGCACCTCTGCCTACCCCTTCGGGGATAAAAGGCGTGATGTTATGTTATGTAAATTACTTATTAACTGTAAAAAGAATGTACGGTCCTTCTTCTCGCAAGAAATTATGAAAACTCCGCCTAATAAAAACCTCTGTAGTTCTATTACTCTGGTCTATGAAATGTTTGGTCTAATACATTAAACACGCTAAAAAAAGGCGGACATAATGTCACTTAGAAATGATTGAAGCACCAAAATGACAGTGGGTTATTTATGTGTGCGTGTGTAATGGGTTACCACGTTACCAGACTTAAGAATATGAGAGATGTCCTTCGAGTCAATGTGTGTATGTTCGGCTTGTAAATCTATAGTAACCAGGTATCACAGTCATTGTTTCAAGAGACTCTTATATACAGACTCTCATATATACATTAAACATAAAGAGATCACACATAAAACCACAAAATAAATCAGTTTATTTTTTGCCAGAGTGAACACAAACTTCATCTATCTACACAGTACAATATAAGCCTTTTTTTAACGGGGGAAAATTATCGAATGACTGCTCCCGCCTAGGTGAGGTGGGAGGGAGTGTCAGACTCTTACTGCCTAAAACCACCCCGTTCCTTCTCCTGCGCTTTGAGCCGGAGCCCCGGTAACCCGTTAGGTTCAATATAGCCCTAATGCCACCTCAAAAATACTTAGTACATATATGTCTTGACAGATACTCAGCAACACTCTTTTATTTAATACCTTAATGCATCGACAAACAAAGATTGATGTGACTCTCAGTTCAATCACCGAATATCTCAGCTTTTGCCTTTCAAACATTTTTACAAGTAAGTCAATGTACGATTTCTGCTGTGAGAGATTAATGGTTGGAAAATAACTGCAATGAGACCTTCAAAGTGTTCAATTTCCATATCGGACAAATATTTATATCCTTTTATCTGTTGAAACACCGGCTTCCGGCATAAAACACATTATACCCGAAACTTTCAACAGACAAGAGGATAGGATACTACGTGAATATACTGAGTAAAGCTCTACTAGTTTCGAGCGATCGCGGTGCTCATGAGGAAGAGCCCATCTGTGGCTTGAAACTAGTAGAGTTTTACTTAATATATTCACGTGGGCAACCCGCGATTTTTAGTTAACTTAGTATGTCACACGATAGTTATTATAAAAACATACTAGCTTCTGCCAGTTGTTTCGCCTACGATTTGTGGCATAAAAAGTAGCCTATATGTTATCCCGGACCATAATTTACCCCTGTTTCAGTCCCAGTAATACGTTGCCCGACCGGGAATCCTAGAGCCCTTGCCCAGCAATCGCACTTACGACCACTCGGCACTTAAAATCAGATAATTACAAAAATATGTTACAAGCCAACATTTCAAGAAATAATTAAAAAATGTCCAATATTCTCCAAACCACAGGTTGTAAATTCAAGGCCCTGACTCCCGAGGACAGTCTCCGAATTGGAAAATGATTTAGGCAAATTGTTTAGGGTTCCAGTATTGAAATTTATCTTCTTGTCCTGAATAACTTAGTGTTTGGCCAGAAGGTAACCGTCTTCCTAATAATGAATACAAAACAAAATATCTATTTCTGTGTACGGAAAGGTAGACAAGACAGATAGGTAAGATACATACATCTTAAGAAGCCACATTTGGACTGGCTTTGTATATTAGCTACAAGTTTAGTTAATAAAATGATCGCATATATTTTTATAACCTTATGCAAGTTAAACAATATCAAATAATTATGAAAAATAAAGAAGAGAAAGAAGAGATCACACTAATATTATAAATGTGAAAGTTTCTTTGTTTGGATGTTTGTATGTCCATCAATCACGTTGAAACTGCTGAGTGGATTGTGATGAAATTTGGTGTTCAGACAGGGTATGGGCTGACTAAAATGATAGGAGTTTGTATACCGATTAAATGCTCCCATTAGATAAAACAGGGATTATATTCTACGCGGACAGCTAAAATTAGTATGATATCTTCTTATATATTTTTTTTATTTTCCTGTTTTGGAATTTACTCATTATTAATTCTTTTAAGGTAATGTTATCTAAGTCCTTGTTTTAAAATCAACGTACCTACCTACACCCGTGAACCATTTAATAACGTTATCTCTATTACAATGATTGAATCTTCGCATCTTCGCAAATCATTCGAGACAAATCCATTTATAAGTCATATTGACATTAATATAAAAAAACTCAATTCTCTATTAAAAACCATTACAAGACAGAAAGTCACACATTTTATACAAATTATTCAAGATAGTCCGTTTATCTCGACTTCAATACTTTACAAAACAGTTCAATATGAGATATTATCCAAAGATTTGTGTTATAAAAGACGTTTGTCATTCCAATTCAGAAGAAAACTTTATTTCGATGCCTATATTAAATTCTAATTTCTTTGACATTTACAAAATTAATATACCTAACTTTAAATGGAGATGACAGGGAAGATTATGAAGAAGATACATTTGTCATCACCTGGACTCATCTCACGAGTGACGCACCGGCAGTTAAGAGCCAAGAGGCTCTAAAGTTAAGAAACTTTACTGTTATTAGACTCATTATAACCAGTCTTGATTACTATATGGGTCTGTACGCATTATTGTTTATCGTAAAAGAGTAAGTGTATATCAATTTGTATTGAAGACCTACTTACCTCCTACCCCGGGTTTTGCAAAAATTGTAAACCAAAAAATGACGAATTGTCAAAAGCATAAAATGAAAACTGAATCTTCCAGTTTAAGATTCATTCTTGCTCAACTACTAGACCAAAGATGAATTCGAACTTGACACCTGACCCAAATGTTCCCATTCGCAGAAACTTCTGATTGTCAACCCCATTTCTCCAGGTGAGGTCTTTGACCTCTGAATGAAAGTTCCAAAAAGTTTGCCAATTTATTTGTTCTGCATACAGATTAAGCATTTTTCTCATCCAACCCACACAGGTTGTCAACCTCCGTTCGGATGTAATTATGAAGATTTGGCAAAGTTTTGTAGAAGCCTCTGAGAGTTTTATGGCAAAACTTTCAAGTCAATTTAACGTGGAACATTTCAGAGTATTTTAGGTGCAAAAAAAGTTTTTTCTGTTTAACAGGTCCATGTAATCACATTGGTACCTTTTTTCTGAAATAAACCTCTGAAGAATTGAGATACTGGTGACTGCTAACTGCTTTTGTAAAATTATTTCATGAACAATTTCGAGTTCAGTTCCGTGTAGAAGGCGTTATAAACCAACGAGAAAAGGTACTAGTACCAAATGCCCAGAGGGATCATTAATTTACTGATAATGTTGATAAACGTTTAAGTTGGAATATTCGTGGAATATCATCGGCTAAATATTTAATAGGCTTACTGTCACTAAACCAAAACTAATAGCACTGTAATCTCAAAACTATTAAGTGCACAACACACCATGCATTCTGCTCATGATTATAAGCCCTGTTTTTAGCTTGAATTTAGTCGAGCACCTTCCGTAAGTGAGTTACGTGAGTAAACCGCATTATATAACTAATTCACTATGTCTCATAACAGTAATTACACAAAATGTAATAAGCATTTATGATACATCTCTACCATAACACCACCAACCTGTTATCGCTTAGTCTTATCTAAATTTAATATCCAAACTTTCTATTCCGGGAACTCGGATGATACTTATAAAGCGGAGCCTACAATTAACGTCAAGATGAAAACTAACTGTAAACTCAATTACCTGACTGTAACTTGAGGAGTCAGGTGGCACTTTATAAAACTAATATTTTGTCGAAATTTTGGCAAAATTCTGCGGCCAAGTCCCAAGGGATGGATCGGTACGACGGATTAAAGTCGAAATAGAATTTTAAGACGACACTGTCCTTGAGAACTTGGTGATATTGATGGGCATTAAATTTGATCCTTGCAAACTTGATTAGAATTAGTTTGTGTTTCTTTGTCTTTATCAGTTGCTTCATTGTTTGGTTTATTTGAAGAGATGGAAATATTATTTGTTAAGAGATTAAAAGTTGTGCAAAGGAAGCCTACTGAAATAAACTACACTTATGAAACTTGTGTTCACTAGAAAATGCATAAAAGTGCTCCCTCACCGGAAGCATTGACGTGTAATGTAACATATAGATTCGACTTTGAGCATTACATTACAATAATACCTCCCTGACTAACGAGCATTGGTGTGTAATGTAACATATAGATTCGACTTTGAGCATTTCATAGCAAGATGTCAGACGAAGGCCGAATGCTCGCAAGGGCGACTCGGCAAGGGGTATCGGGTTCGACTCCCGGGTCGAATAAAAATAAAATATTACTGGGTTTTTAAAGTATTGGTAAAAATGTAGCAAAATTAATTGTTCAATTCCTATTTTATTACTTGTAACCATCACATTAAAAAACCGACTTTCACTTCTGTCACTTACAGTAACAATTCCAATGACTTCAATATTATTTTCTTACCTGAACAAGAAGGTCTCATTGAACACAGGGTTCAAGTTCTTGCGATGAACCTTGGTCTGGAACTTCTTTTTGCGGTCAGGGAGTAGGAAGACCTTGATGTAAGGGTCACTGCTGCCCGTCACGTCCTTGATGGGGAGATCACGAGCTTCGAATATCTGAAGAAGAGAGAAGAAGATATAGCATGATAGAAGAAGATTTTTGTAATGATAAAGAAGTGAAGAGTGCTGTATGATATTGGTAAGTAATCAAAATGTGTGTCTACATAATTTTATTCTTCAGTTATTGTTAACCTCTCGCGCGTTTGAATGAGTTGAGTTTGAGTTTGAGTGACTTAACCGCTTGAATGCCCGTATATGAGACACAATAGAAAATACATTGTGTCAATAACTGACTGGCTGACTGACACAAATAGTATGGTTAAAAAAGCTGTGGCTTTTGCCGTTCAATAACCATAATTAGAATGTTAAATAAATGTTAAATGCTATGGGTATTTAACATTCAAAGTGGAAAGAGTTCTGATAAAATTAAGTAAGTTATAAATAGTATCAAATATGGATAATTGCGAAATTGTAACCGAAAAGAAATCTATTTGGGTTTTTAATAAAATCACGGAAGCTTTTAATACGTGGGTTCGGCCTTAAATATTAAATTAAACTTTTTTGTGGGATAATAATAAAACGTCATTATTGAGATTTTAAAACTTTTATCGTCCAATTGATTTGAGGGTCTGGGGTTGTTATACCATATTTTAAAAAACTTTAGTTTCAAAACATTAAGGTACATTTTCCTACAACAACAATATAAATGTAGCCTACATAATAAGTCCCAAAAAACACACAAGCGCCAATCAATTTTGGACATTAATTCCACTGACATTTTCCACACGTGCTCTTCGCCAATAAATTAATTAATTTTCATGCTACCCATACAAATGGCTGGTTAATCAAATATAATAATATGAAGCAATTAATTTTGAGTGCCAAACGAAATTCGTCCTTATTGACACCTGAGGAGGGGGCTTAAAGCTGAGCGATCCATTTGTCATGCGAAGGCGTAAATCGAAGGATTCTTTCTTTATCTTTTTAAGCGGATGTTAGCACGTATTCAATTTTATTACTGTTCAAATCATAAAAACCAATCAGGTATGATACCGTAATTGAATAATCTACTAAATGCCTGCTTGGTTTAAAATCACCTGCTACTTTCATCTCTGCACTACTTAAAGATTGACTGGGAGACAATGCCCAAGGCATAAGTCCACCTGAACAGTGTACACAATTGTTGTTAAGTTGAAAAATCATCAATCATCATAATCACTACGCTTGCTCAATGCGGGTTGGCAATTACAAACTTATAATTAGAAATTATAAGCCCAGGTTTCCTCACAATGTATTCCTTCACCGTTTGTCAGTGGTGTCTGAATAATCTTAGAAAGTACATATAACTCGGAAAAAGTGACATTGGTACTTGCCGTTGGTAGGTTTCGAACCCGCACCCGCATGAGAAGCGGGCATCTTAAACCTCCGGGCCACCACGACACTTTTACAATGTAGGTAAGAAAATAAAGATTCTTCTTTTTCTTCTTTTTTTTTAAAAAAAACGTTTCCCCACACTAGGAATTTCTCCTGTGTCGTGGGTGCGTTTACAAACATACAAGTTCACATACACATGACGCCCAGACCCGAAACAACAATTTGTGGATCACACAAAGTGTTGTTCCGTGCGGGAATCGAACCCGCGACAAGATTGATTAACAAGAATAGAAATAAATTACTATACTCTATTATACAAGTTTTAACCAAGCTATATCGTCTATAACTATTGGTCGGTTCAATAGCCAACCAACGATTAGTCTTTAGACTGAAACATTTTTTATTTTCTTACCTATATTAAACTATAGATGGAGAGTGCCTAACTATGAAAACTAAAGAAATTTCTCTTCTCATTAAACTATACACCGTAAAAATGGTTGAGAAAAAGTCTTCAGAAAATTGTACGTATTTTACTCGAATTGTTTCTACATCCTTTATACCACACAACAAACAGCCCAAAAAATTTACGACACGTGGGCGGACTGTAAACCTACTCTACCGTATTATTAAACTTAATCCCTATTACCTGCTCCACAAAGTCTATAAATCAAAATCGTTCGCAAAGTTCAAGACACTCTAAAGGGCATGACCTATAAGCGACAAAATTTAATTAAGATCATTACACATTATTAAAGATTTGAACTTTTAATCTTAAGTTTGTTCGATATCTTGGCCTTAATTCGATTTGACCTTGTTATCGGACGCTGTATTAGGATGGTTGATTTATAAGGGTCAAGTGCGAGTTGGATTCCGACGTTAAGACTCCGATGTTAAGTTTCGCGCCGCTCATAGACACATGTTATACCATTTTTTTTTAAGGGGGGAAAATCATCGAATGTCTGCTCCCGCCTGGGTGAGGCGGAAGGGAGTGTCAGACTCTTACTGACTAAAAACCACGTCGAGCCGGAGCCCCGGTTACCCGTTAGGTTCTCCGCGACTCCGAATCAGCAACAGCCCTATTGGGCCCCATCTGTGGTGGTCTGACGGCTCTTTGAGGAGCGCGCGGAACGCGTCGAGCCGTACGCTCGGGACATGTTATACCATAGGAGTGGCAATTGCGTTGTCTGCCTCTTAGGTCGGAGGGTTCTCGATTACAATTTGCATTTTTTTCCTTTTACTGTGAACTACAATTCTATTCGCATTCCCAATGTATATAATGTAAGCTTAGTAATTATTGACTATAGATATTCGACTGGTTTTATTGACAAGCTGCTTAACTTCAAAGGAACCTAAACGTGAACATTTTTGTTTTATAATGTGAAGATAACATAACATGACACATTTGATCGCCGATGGGGTAGGCAGATGTGCACATTACGGCACTTAATGCCACTGTAAAATGTGAAACCCACTTTTCACTATTTATGTTACGAGTCCCATGTAATTGGGGGCCTGAGCATATTGTCATAATTTAAACTCATACTTAAAAAAACTGACAGACAAATATATAGAAACACAAAGAGCAAAATATGTACAAACAGTCCCGAAACTCCCTTCCAAATGAGGAACCCCAAAAATGTGTCCAGTCGCCATGTTTTTTCATGCTGACCTGGAAAATTTTGATTGGAACAAAATGAAGGCGTAGTTGTGACAAATGATTGCTTTCCTTCACTGAGTTCATTCGATTTGTATAGATGGAGATTTTTTCGCAAATCGACCCTCATTTGGCACAGTTACCTACATAAAGACCGTTCGTGTCTACAAACTTTTTTACCTGTCTACGTAAAAGAAATTCAAGGTCAAATGTGCTAGGCTAGACTGAAAAACAACTGAGAAGATAACTCTCTAACTAAAGTAGACTTTTTGTTGGATTGTATCAAAAAATCTAGTTTTTTCCAACTGGATAATAACTGTCGATCTTTTTTTCACTCTGAATTGATCATCGTAGAGCTTCAGCTTTAGTTTTAGTTTTAGAAAAAGTTAAAATTTTCCATTGTTATAAACGTTTACTTTAAATGATCTTATTACATGATTGTAGCATGAGACCTATTTTCCTTATACAAATCATTCATGTAGATTACACTATAACTACTACTAAAATTACATGACCGGCGGCGTTGACCGCGTTTTCCTGTTTTATCTCATGGGAGCCCGATTAAATGTTGGGATGCCAAATTTCATCAAAATTCTTTCAGTACTTACAGCGTGATCGATGGACAAACATCAAACAAAGAAACACTTGTAATCTCAGTTTCAATATTCAGTATTATTATCACTAGATTAGCGATATATTAAAGAAAGGCCAAATTAAAAGTACCCTTAACCGACGAGCATGCATGAAAACATTGATGACTATTGATAAAGCGGAAGAAGTATGTAGTGATCGTAGCAAATGGCACTCCCTAGTCTCTGCCTACCCCCATGGGAGACAGACGTGAAGATATGTATACATATATGTATGTATGTATTATCACCACCAACAGCCCACTGTATATAAAATGGCTTCCTTCAACTTATTTTTATGTCTTTTTTTATCCTATCAAGCAAATTCCAAGAAACATGAAAATTTCATAAGCATCACCGAGTACTATTTATAAATATCACATAATAACATTTAGGACGGTTATAAAATGATTAATTTGCAGTAACAGCCGCTCTGCTCTGCCAATTCCGCGGTTTTCAACCCTCGGCTCAGTGTGGGGTGAATGGCCTCGTTATCACGATATTGGGTGTTCCAACTGAGTAAATAATAACAAATTGGTACCGTATTGTGGGCTGGAAACCCGATTGTAGTGTGAAATTTCTATTGGGAAGTTGGAAACTGATTGTTCGGAACGTAGAACATTTATTACCTACTTGAAGTGGGTGGAAGGGATCTGTTAGTTATTAATTACTTTCATGCTCCTTTTCATTAACCACCTCTAAACATTTTCTTACAAGTTACTTATCGTAAGAGAGCATCATAGGTGTTACTTTTTTTATCTGTTGATGAAAACGACACTATCGCTAAGTGTCGCGTATTTTAGCTTAGGGGTAGGAGAACTTAACGGGTTACCGGGGCTCCGGCTCGAAGTGCAGGAGTAGGAATGGGGTGGTTTTTAGTCAGTAAGAGTCTGACACTTCTCCCGCTTGGGTGATGCGGGAGGGAGCGCCTCACCTAGGCGGGAGAATTCATTCGATGATATTGCCGGCTTTAAAAAAAATCTTGTCTGAGGTTTCTTTAAATTTAGAAAAGTTGGGTGATAGGTATATTAACTAGAATAATGACCGGAGTTTATAGGGACAAGTGCTGATTACATCTTAGATTCGATTACTAAATAACAACAATTGTAATTATTTTACTTTAAAACTACAACACAGACTGCCTCGTTGGCCGAGTGGTCGCAAGTGCGACAAATAGTGAAAAGTGGGTGTTACGTTGTACAATGGCATTAAATGCCGTAATGTGCACCTCTGCCTACCCCTTGGGAGATAAAAGGCATGATGTTATGTTATGCAAACTACATCACAATTAATTTGTATAGACATTTATTTAGTGCTTTAGGAAACACAACCTCGATACAAAATAAAACAGAAACTAGGTCAATTTATTATTTAAAAAGAAAATAAAGTAATTTTTTGCTATTACATCCAAATTATAATTACACTAGCTGTTCCTCGCGACTTCATTCACGTATAATAAGAACTTCTGGCAAATTTTGGATTTTTGAATAAGTTTTCTCCAATATTAATTGCTATGTTGTGTAACAAATTTCATCAGAACCAATTTAGTTATATTTTCGTGATTTAAAAAAAAAAATAATCTCACGTGGGATTTTACCAGTGTAGTATCCATTACCGTTAGGTTTCATAATTATATATAAACCTGTCTTTAGCATTGTAACAATGTTCACGAAGTTAAGCGTAATATGTTCATTAATACAATTCATTTCAAGCAACTTTTATGTTTGGAAAAACATCTAGGAAGAGGTCATTGCCCTCTGTTTATGTTTTATGTATCTGCTGTCAAGAAAACAATGTCTTGTTGACTCTTTTGTAATCACTGTTACCAAGCGGTTTTGACAAGGCTACTCTTATTCAATGACGCTCAAATTTAATATCGAATAAGGTCCTTAATGTAGTTTGAAAATATGTCGGAATATTTTTTTTTGAAACGTAATTAACGATTTTAATTTAATGGAACATGACACCTTTTTGAATGCCTCGTAGGTGGTAAATATAACTACCGAAAAAGGGAACCTACGAGCGATTACCAAATTACATTTAGTATTATTGACACTTTTTCTTAGTATTTACAATGAAATTTTATTCTTTATGATATGTTACTAGCTGTGCCCGCAACTTTGTTCGCGTAGAATAGTGACTCAAAGCTCCTCCCCACAGGTGATACCGTGATAATAAATAGCCTATATGTTGACCCGACCTGTTAGTAATGTTCATGTAAAATTTAAAGTAAATCCATATAGACTGACTGCCTCGTTGGCCGAGTGGTCGCAAGTGCGGGGGTCTCGGATTCGATTCCCGGGTCGGGCAAAGTATTACTGGTTTTTTTTTCAATTCTCAGTAGTAGCACGGAGTCTGGAATTGTGCCCAGTATATGGCAATAGGGTCACCCCCTGTTACATGGGACTCATAACATAAGTAGTGAAAAGTGGGTGTTACATTATAGTAGCATAATGTGCACATCTGCCCCCTTCAGGAATAAAAGGCGTGATGTTATGTTATGTTATGCTCGCAAATACATCTCTACCTATCCCCTTTTATAATACTTATAACCATACAAATAGTCATAGATATGGAGAAATACAGACGACACATTGCTAACGATGTCTTATCTCATGGGAAAAGAGGGATTACAATGTGATCTGAACTTTAACCATACAAAGCTTAGTACATGAATACTATCGATCGATTCAAGACCACGTTACAACCGCAATTGAACTAGACTTTAGCCTAGTTTGTATATCTGTTTAGTTAGATTGTTACGCGTACTACATTTTCGGTAGATAAATATTGTATCAGGAACGTTGGTTGAAACATGTTAACATGTTTTTATAATAACTATCGTAAGACATACTAAATTAACTTAAAATTTCGGTTTCCGAACTGCAGAGGGGTTCTTCCTCATGAGCAGCGTGCGCGGTCGCGGCGATGTCGCGCAGCCTCGTGCATGAAGGTAGAAGTTCGAAACCCGGCAAGTACCAGTGTAACTTTTCCGAGTTATATGTACTTTCTAAGGTATTCAGTCACTACTGACAGATGGTGAAGGAAAACATTATAGGGAAACCTACAATTTCATATAATAAGTTTGAATCCGGCTTGAGTCAGCGTGGTGATTAATGCTCTAACCTCCGTATGAGAAGAGGCTTTGCTCAGCAGTAGGCATTTATAGGCCGATAATGATGATAATGGTGATTGTCGTTAAACTATGTAAACGTTTTTAGTCTCAATAATTAAAAACAAAGTAACATACTCGAAGTTACACTGACCCGGGAATCAACACCTGAATAGAATAATGACTTTTATAAAAAATGCAGAGGATTTCCTTAAACAACACTCGCGTATATCGAGAAAGGTATTCAATTTTTTTATGGCATAAGCCGGTAAACGAGCAGATGGATCACCTGATGGTAAGCAATCGGCGTCGCCCATGGACACCTGGAACACTAGAGGCGTTACAAGTGCGTTACCGGCTTTTTGGGGATTAGGAGTTTGAGGATCGTTGGGGATTCAGCGATTGGAGAGATTAGGGAAGAGGAGGGTAATTATTAAGGCCTCCGGTAACCTCACTCGCACGACGAATCACAACGCAAGCATTGCTTTACGTCGGTTTTCTGTGAGGCCGTGGTATCAGTCCGGTCGAGCCGGCCCATTCGTGTCGAAGCATGGCTCTCCCACACATAATATCTGCTTTATGCTAGCAGGGTAGTGCTTGTACTATTTGGTTCACGACGCTACTACCCGAAAAGTGCCGAAGATATCCGAACATAGTTTACATAGACATACATAGGCCATTGCACTGCGCATCTATCTCATTCAAATGCAGTGTCTGCTTTCATAGTAATCCGATCCCTAAACCACTGAAGAAAATAATGAGCTTTAATATATTACATTCAGATTTCTCCTTAACATTATATTCAGACTATTAGCAAAAGAATTAAATTTAACCATTTATTCGATCATCAAGCTAAAGGTAACATTGTTAATTAGTTTTAATCGAGTCATTAAGAGCAAGTAGTTCAAAATACTATGAATAATTTCAATTATATTAGGTTTCATATGTGTTGAACGTTATTGTTTTATGGTGCTAATTTTCAAACAGTTAACAAGCTAATTTCATATCATAAAAGTAAACAATAAGTCATATAGTATATTATATGAGAAGTATAATCCTGCATAGTACAGGCTGAGGCGAAAGATTTCACGTTTTACAAGTAGGTGAGTCATGCTTAAGCACAAATGGGCCGGCTCGACCGGAATAATACGCCGGGCCTCATATAAAACCAGCGTCAAACAACACGTTGCGCCACGTGAATAAGGTTACCGGAGGCCCAACTAAAGGCAGCAACGCATTTGTTATCCTTTTCTTGATCGTCCATGGGCGGTATCCGATAAAAAATAAACATAACTTCACGCCTTTTATCCCGAAGGGTAGGCAAATTACAGCACTTAATGTCACTGTACAATGTAACACCCACTTTTCACTATTTATCTAATGAGTCCCATGTAATAGAGGGTGTGCCTATTGCCATTTATCGGGCACAATTCCAGATTCAGTGCTACTACTGAGAGGTTTTTATAAAACCTAGTAAAACTTTCTCGACCCGGGAATCGAACCCGAGACCACTCGGCCGACGAAGCAAATAAATAATAAAATAAAGACTTATCTTACCTTGACAACAAGAGCCTCAACTTCCTGGTCGTATTTGAGTGCAAAGTGCAGCTTGCCACAGAACTCCAGCTCAGCGCTCTCAGTAGACGACTGGCGAACCAGCTCATTCTTGTACAATTCCGGCTGAAACAAGGACTTAGGTTAGTTTTGTTAGTTTTTTTAGGACTCGCCCTTACCAGTCCGAGTACGTGTTCGGCTCTGAAACCAATGCAACCAATGAACCAAACGCGGTTTATTTTTTTTAATGTTACATATTATTTAGAATAGAATAGAATAAAAAAATCATTTATTCTACAGTAGGCACGCACACAGATACAAAAAAATACAAAATTAAAAAAGAAAAGAACAAATATTTCTCCGCGGACTTTGGTCCGTGCCCTTGTCATACATTTTTTTGACAATACATCTAATCAATATTTATAAAGTACCTAGTTACACACTACAATTGAACACCATTATAATTATTACTACAAGAATAAATTACATGGTAATTAACTATCATCTATTGATATCTATTAAATAAGCCCACCAACACGATGAGAGAGCCGACCTGACCCAGCAGAAGGCACCTGTTCACGTGTGTCAGCAATTGGTCCGGTCAACCTTTTGATTGGGAACGGAACAACTCAACACACAGCGCCACCGACTGTAGGACATTTATGTGTGCAAGACGTCTTAACCCTTGTTACGTTAGCTGATTTCAATAGAGCTTATAGTCCAAAAATCAATTGGTCTGTTTCTATGTTTGCATACACATTTCCCCACGACGCCAAACACAGTCCCGTTTCCATTACTTTAAACGTATAACAAACTCGTATTAAGGCCTCTGAACAATGAGCTTCCACTGTAAGACGGTTTGCCTTGGTCTCCATGTTTGGATAGCTGTTTGGATAGCGCAATTTTAAAGGTTCCAGTTAATCAGAGAGTACTGTATCCTGGCCTTAGTGAAATGTATACTTCTTTAATCTGCTGGCACGACACCCGCAGAAAGATGTACAAGTTACACTTATTATGCCAATAAATAATTAACAGCAATTTAAACTCTAACATCCATTAAATAAGACTGCCAATCATTTAATTACTATTTAACCTCGGGCATTAACCTTCAAAAACAATATAAACCAATCGGAAACAATAAAAACGGCGCCTTTTACAACCAATAGCTCTTAAATGTAATTTATGGTTTAAATATAGCCATTTAAATTTAACAGAGCCAATAAAAATATTCAATAGAGCGTACTGTTTCACGGTAAACCTAATTTTATGGGCGGCTTTTAAAATTTGGCGTAAAAACTGGTCAAATAAACTCTTTGCTTCAATATTGACAATTTCGCTAATAATAATTTCTTTGTATCTCAATATTAAACTGAATTAATCCTCATAGAAACACTTTTGTTATACTAAAATAGAATTTTCCGCAAGTTATTTTTTGAGGGGCGAAAATCAATCAACGACTTCTCCCGTCCGGGTGAAGCGAGAGAGAGTGTCAGACTAACTGACTAAAAATCACCCCATTTCTACTCCTGCACTTCGAGCCCCAACGCCCCGGAGCCCCGACAACCCGTTAAGGACTCTTCGGCTCTGTATTGGCATCAGCCCTATGAGGCTCCATCTGTGGTGGTCTGGTGGCTCTTTGAGGCGCGCACTGACGCGACGCGCCGTACGCTCGGGTCTGGTTCTGGTCGGGTGGCGACTTACCCGTCCTGCTTGTCACTTAAGCTATGAAGAACTATAAACTAACATTCTGATGAGGAGATCAATTCTCCAACCTGGTGCTGTTTTACCAAAAAATCGACTAAATCATTAATTTCATATAACACTTCCCGTTCGACTATATCCTTAAGCCATGTATACATCAGGGGACGAAATAGGTCCTGCGCCGTCACGCTAGCGACGTTGGATAGAATAAAAAAAAATGAAAAAACCGCGCCGTTGCCAGATATTGGTCGACATGTCTGGCAACGTCAATGTCACTGTGGACATAAGGCGAGCGTTAATGTCCCACAAAATATGTCGGGTAAAATCGGCAGGCTTCAATTGACATGTCGTCGATACATGTCGTAGGACATTTGTATATCCTTGGCTTTATTCAATAAGCCAATAAAAAACTGAAGAATAATTAATTCATCATTGCAGATAATAACCATACCGTACCATATCTACCTACTTAGGTAGGTATCTAAGATGGATAGATAAAAATTCTTTAATTCTAAACGACATTCAATGGTATAATCTAAAAACCATTAGTCCTTTCGATTCCTCTCCTATATACAAAAAAAAATGTATTCAAAGATTTTTTTTACAATCTTCTTTAGAAGAAAAGTTCTCGTTGAAATTACTCAGACGAGTGAGTAAACATTGTAGCTAATCTGTCGAGAGTATTATAGCTTAGTATTATTAATCGTGTCTAATGAGACCTAAATCTGTCAGTATGAAAATTTTGACGAAATGAACCGTAATTCAAGGTGATGTATGAATGTACGATTTTCAGGTTGGGTTGGTTGAAGTGGTTTGAGAAGAGATATTTTCTTGTCACAAAAATAAATAATAAAAGGCTTTTTAATCTCATAGGTAGAGACATATTGGTGTTACACTGTTCGCACATAATAGACTCAACGAAACAATATAACCAAGAATATTGTATAGTGAACTTGATTGAAAAGAGTAACCTATGAAGTTTCCTGCTCGTTCTTTTCCATAGGTACTCACTTTGAAACGAGAAAATAGCTTTACTAGAGAACTAACCGACAAACTGATATTTTTATATTTGTTTGACATTCAAAAGTGGGTTCCTGGTCTAATTGAAATAAGTAATTTTGATTTGATTTTGCCATCGAAGTGTACGTATTTGAACACCAAGATTTCATCAATTATGTTATATGTATGTATATTACGAGGTGAGCGTATTGTCATATACTGAACCTAATAACAGACTCTGTACTATTACAGAGACATTTTCAAAAAAAGTGAAAAATACAAGACAAGCATTAATCCTTTGTTAGACCCAGAAATTGAATCTAAAATCGGACCAGTTACCCGTCCACCAACGAGCCAGTCAGAAGTTTTTTTTTCAACAAAGTTGCCCTACCCGTTGAGTTCCTCCTGTATCATGGGTGCGTTTATAAACATACAATTTCACATACACATGACACCCAGACCCGAAACAACAATTTGTGGATCACACAAAGAGTTGCTCCATGCAGAATCGGACCCGCTACACGTTGTACCACAGCCAGTTGCCCGGCTACCGCGCTATCCATCAGAAGTATCAGTAGGTAGTCTTTTTTTAAGGGGGGATAATCATCGAATGACTGCTCCCGCCTGGGTGAGGTGGGAGGGAGTGTCAGACTCTTACTGACTAAAAACCACCCCGTTCCTTCTCCTGCACGTCGAGCCGGAGCCCCGGTTACCCGTTAGGTCCCCGCGACATCAGTAGGTACTATAGATATTGAATTAGCACTGTATTCTAGAATTTGACAACAGTTTGCTTTTTAACGTCAAAAAGCTTACATTATCAAGTCTGACATTTCATTTCTTCATACCTAAAGCCTTTATAAAGTACATAATTCAACTATTTGTCATCATTTCAGCAATTTCAGGCGATTCTTTATGACAAACAAATGGAAAAAGAGTACTTATTTTGAGTTGTTAGAATATTTTTTGGTTTTTCAATCTAAATGAGAGACAGAGCTTGTTTAGCGAAATTATTTTCAAAATGGTCTCATTACGAAAATCTTACGTTTGAGGAAAATGTCGGAAAATGATTGTTTCTGTTAAACTTTTATTATAAAAGAAAAACATTATAACAGTTTTGTTATAATACATTATTATTTTGTTTTATGATTTCGTAAAATGAAATAAGTATTATCTGCCTATTAACTGTATGAGTAGTCATAAATGCGGCTGCCAAGTTAAGAGATTCGGATTTGATTACTTGACCGGGTACAGAATTATTGATATCATTGCGTATTTCTATCCGAAAATTAAAGTATACTTCGTTGTATACTTTCATTACTAAGACCAAGGAGGTGATGTATCGAAACAATACTTGTTCACGATATTAAAAGTATCACATCCAATTACAATAAAAATCAAATAAACCACCGATTTCAGGCAGCACTGAAAACAATTTAAATCTCATAATGATAGTCACTGCACGTCGCATTAATTTCATGCATGAAATTGAAATTAATATATTAATATTTTATCCATTTTCTCTTTACATTTCATGTTTCATTTATAAAGATACTAGTTTTTACCCGCGGCTTCGCTCACGTCACAAAATGATAAAAAGTAGCCTATGTGACATATAACGATATACATATCGCCATCTATAACAATACTTTTGTTTTCCCTCGGGAATATCAAATTTTTCTTGGATAAAATGTACCCTTTTCATTAATCCGGACTTCTAACTTTACGTCTGCAAAAATTTAAAGCAATCGGTTTTGTAGTTACGGCGTGAATGCGGAACAAACAAACAAACTCACTTTCCGATTTATAATATTATATAGTAAGGATTAAATAATTAAGAAATAATTATCTCTTCTACACATTTTACTTCATAAAGCAATTTGTGATAATTTTAACCCAATTATTATGTTTTGGGCTTACTCGCGTAACTGTTTGACTAGGAACTCGACTAGTTTCAAGCTAAGCTAGAGGTTTATATTCGACCCGCGAAGTCGTAACACGAAGTCTAGAAATGTGCCCGGTATATGGCAATAGGCTTACCTCCTATCACATGGGACTGATAACGTAAATAGTGAAAAGTGGGTGTTACAATGTACAGTGGTATTAAGTGCCGTAATACACAACTTTGCCTACTCCTTCGGGTTTATAAGGCGTGATGTTATTATGAATCACAAATTACAAAGTATAGTTATCTCGTTTGATCAGCTAATAACAAATATATCATAACATAACATAACATCACGTCTTTTTATCCCCGAAGGGGTAGTTAGAGGTGCACATTATACCACTGTACAAACTCCGTGCTACTACTGAGAATACTTAAACCCAGTAATACTTTGCTCGACCACTCGGCTAACGAGGCAGTCCTACGAATATATCCTCAATAGCAACTATTTCACGGAACATCACCCTTTGCTTTGAAACAAACAAACGAACAAACTATTCAAATATCTCAATCAATATCTAAACAACACAATGTAACATAAACTAAAACAAATTAATCAAACAGTTGACTGACTGTGTTTGCAAATCGAACTCTGTTATTATTGAAGTAAAGTTTGTTTTTGTTTGGATTTCTGGTTTTGCTGACTAATAAATTAGTACGTATAGGTCATGTCTGTTAAAATTTAGTAGAACGTCTGTGTATCCCGCTTAAAACCTTCATTTAACTTTCACAACAGAAGCAACAAAGATATACAATATTGATATTCAACCAAATAACATAACATAACATCACGCCTTTTATTAACAAAGGGGTAGACAGAAGTGCACATTATGCCACTGTACCATATAACACCCACTTTTCACTGTTTATGTTATGAGTCCCATGTAATAGGGGGTGAGCCTATTGGCATATACCGAGCACAATTCCAGCCCCCGTGCTACTACTGAGAATTTTGTAAAAACCTAGTAATTGCCCAATTCAACCAAATACTGTCAATCTTAAAAAACTGTTCCCAAAGAGAACCAAAGAAAACAAAAACTAAAATAAATATCTGCAAAGTCTGTTCCAAAATCACTTCGTTAAAACTTAGACAAGACTATCATCGCTTCACTTCGAAGTGACAACTCAATTTCCACGTTGCTCATTATCGATGGCACTTGGAACATCACTATTCAATAATGCAGCGTCGATCGAGACAGAAATGAGATCATTTCGACAGCACTCGACGTCACTAAGTTGATTGTCGCTTAATTATTTCACTCCCTTCTTTGAATACTGCTTTGGATTGAAGGAATCTGTTTTGATCATTTTTATTGACCTTTAAATTGCGTGTTTCATTTAATTATTTGCTGCCCCCGTTGGCTGACGTGAGCATTCAGCCGAACGCCACTTTAGCGCTTGTCTACAGAGAGAGTAGAAATCAAATGTATGGATGACACTGATAAATGTCAAAATTTAGTTCATCATCATCATCAACAGCCTATAAATGCCCACTGCTGAGCAAAGCCTCTTCTCACACGGAGAAGGTTAGAGCATTAATCACCACGCTTGCTCAATGCGGGTTGGCGATTTCAAACTTATAATTAGAAATTATAAGTCCAGGTTTCCTCACGATGTTTTTCCTTCACCGTTTATCAGTGGTGTCTAAATAATCTTAGAATCAAAATTTAGGTGAATTCCATTAATTTGGTTTTCTATTCTACATGTAGACAAGCGCTAAATGGCATTTGGCTACAGCTGCTGGCTTACCAAATGGTGACGACAAAGTAATCTGTCACCACCCTGACTCTTCCTGGGGTTATCGGAGAACCAACTAAGTCACTACACATTTGACATTTGACAGACACAGACACTGGGCAGCAGCTTCACTACATAGTATAAAACAAAGTCACTATTCGCTGTTTGTCTTTTTTAATTTTAATGCGGTTTTTTTAATAGATAAAGTGATTTTTAAGTTAGTTTTATGTGTAGAACATATGCATATTGCACCCGTGCAAAGCCGGGGCGGGTCGCTAGTAGTCTATAAAATTATTAAAATTGCACAAGACAGGAGTGTTGTGTCAAAGACCTTAAAAATTGTGACCTGCAACATGTCTGTCAAGTTAATAATTATGTTTTCGGCTTACGTTTGTAACTGTTTGACGAGGAACTCGACTAGTTTCAAGCCATGCTAGAGGCTCATATTCATGAGCAGCATTCTGAGTTCCTCGTTTTTGTCTCACGAAAGTTTAAGTATAAACAAGTCTGTCAATCTTGGAGATGTTAGCAAATCCTCTTATGTTTGTAGAAGATACTCATAGTACACTAGCTACTTTCGCGCGGTTTCACACGCTCTGCTCAGCTTCTATTTATTGTAGCGTGATGTTTTATAGCCTATGACCATCCTCGATAAATGCGCTATACAACACAAAAATAATTATTCAAATCAAAACAAACAAACAAAAAAACAAACTCTTTCGCTTTATACAATAGTATAAGAGATAAGATGATCGTCTATCAGGTAAACGTCATCAAATTCTAATACCAATTTTAATTTAACCAAAAATCAATCAACCGAAACACAATTTGAATAGCTCACCAAATACGCATCATATACGCATAACAATAACCTAGGGTTGTCAAACCGCATAATGTAATATTACGGCACATCAACCTATAAACAGGTACTAAATTAAATTCATTGTTCTCGCGTACATTGTCAGACGCGCCACTCCCAGACACGTCATTTCCACACGATTTCCGAAGCATAGGGCTGTCCGTGTGTCCGTGAATGGCTAGTCAACTGTCAGTGTCCAGGTGACAACGTTGTCAATTGTGTTGTTAGGTATTTTTAGTTGCTATTTTGTTCCGTTGATTGGAGTTATTTTTGTTTTAGTTGGATATGTTAGAGCTACGAAAATATGTCGGTGTTTGGTTGAATAACACTTGTTTAAAATGTAAGTTTATAAAGGAAATATTGTAAATTTATAACATAACTATCGTCACGCTGTTTAATCCCCATAGTGCACAGTGTTATTTTAAGTTTTCACTTTGATTAATATTATGAGTTCCATTTGATAAACTATTATATAAACCGGGCACAATTTTATTGGTACACCAATTGCCTGTATCTACGGATCAAACCTTGCATGACAGCCGCAAATAAGAATCTGACTTCTAATTAATTATATTTAAGACGTGGCAACCCTAAAATAAATTAGAAAAAAAGTAAAAGTAAGCGTTTTTCATATCGCTACACCCCTAAAAACTTCAATAATGAAGTCTTTCATCATTTGTTACTTCCAAAATTGTTTGAGATTCTTTTTTCGACTTTTCTGTTGACAAAGGAGAAAAGTTTCGAAGCAAAGAAAAGTAATAATAATAATCGTATTATTACGTTTATTTTGTAACACACTGATTGAGGAGTTTGATTGCGTATTTTATTATTTATTGTTATTGTTATTCTTCTTACATATTTGCTTAAGGTCGTCTGAAGTTGGTTTTTTATTTATTTTTCTTTTTTCCTTATTACTGTACGGAGAGAAATATCAGCAATGACGTCTATCAGATGAGAGTTAGAATATAAATAAAAGAATATCTTTTATTATTTTTATTACTTAAAAGAGATGGATTAATCTGCGCCCTCAAGTTTGACCAGTCCAAAACATGGTTTAACCAATTCCGACTATCAGAAAATATAAAGACTACTAAGCCCAAAAACTAAGTTCAATATTCAAAGATCTTATAATTATTTAAGTTCAATAAAAAAGTTAGTGCGTTTATTCCAAAAAGAATCATTGAAAAATAGATGACTCGTATGATCCACTTACAAAAAAAAACAAACAAATTCGAAATTCAAAAAACTATTCTTTTTAATTACAAGCTCGGAACACAAGGCTTTTTCGCTTCTGTCTACCAAAGAGTTTTGTTAAACAAAAACTGGCCAGTTTTATAATTACGGCTTAAAAATAAAAGAATATGGCGTCAAAATACTGAACAGAGACAAAAGGGGTGATAATTAAGAAACCAGAATCATGTGAACAAGCTTTCATTAGGCTACAGTCTCTTTTGTCAAAGAGCCTTTGATGAAGGTAAGATTTTATAAGGGAATCTAGATTTTTGTTAACAATTTTAGTGATTTAGTAAGTGTATAAGATTAAAAAACCGCCACGTCTTTTAATCCCCAAAGACGTAAGCAGAAGAGCAAAAAAATACAATATGAAACGCACTTTTTCACTAAAGAAACCTATAATATTTGCCCAACCCGAGAATCAAACCCGAAATTCCGTGTTCGACAATAATTCGATTATTTAATATTACAACATAAAAATGAACATTCATTTACTGTGTGTGTAACTAGGTACCTTCTTTACTTTATAAAAATTGACTAGATGTATTGTAATAAAAAATTGTATGACAAGGGCGCGGACCAAGAGTCAGTGGAGAATTAATCTGTAACATTAAATAAAAAAAAAAACATTTATTTACTCAACAGTAGATACTAATTCAATATTAAGAAAAACGTGAGTACCATTTTAAGACATACTGAAAACTTTTCAGTTGTAAAATGGAATCCTTTAGAGACGTCACTCGTTGCAGTTTTAAAATGTGCTGCCATTTAGAATTAGTTTTAGCGTCATCACGTACGTTATTCCTTCAGGAGTGAGTAGAAACGAATTTTAATCTTCACTTCATTATAAATGCCTTTATAGTATCTTTTTCAACCGACTGCAAAAAAGAGATTCTATGTTTCACCTGTATGTATGTATGTTTGTATGTTTGTGCACGATTTTCTCGCGATTGGTTGATCTGATTTTGATGCGGTTTTCAGAAGTGGATTTTTAAAATAGGAAAAGGTTTTAGTATATTAAGTAACCGACTTCAAAATAAGAGGTGGGGTTGAAGACGGTTTTTTGATTGATGATTTCAAAATTGAACACTTCTTTTTTTTCTGACCAGGGAACCTCACTAACTAAAATGACATAGCAGTTGAACGAGTACTGGATATTTAAATACCTTAATAAGTCCAATCGAAGAGTCAGCTCGCTCCAAGCTGCAAATGCTGAACTGGATCGAAGGCAGGTCGAGACGATGGGACAGCTGGCGCTGGAAGGTCTGGTGACGCGTTGGAACTATTGGCAGAGTTGTCTGACGGAGAACCTGGAAACAAAACATAAGGTAAGTATAATTATGAGCCTATTTTCTTGAAATGGATATCATTCAAACCGTACTTAGTTAGGTAGTAGCTTAATTAGATACGAGGTTAAAGTATTCATTTGTAATTAAACAAAAATTACCGTGTCCGACTGGTCGCAAGTGCGACTACTGGGCAAGGTGTCTTGCGTTCGATTCCTGGGTCGGGCAATGTTAAACTGGCTTTATAAAAAAAATCTCAGTAGTAGCACGCAGTCTGGGATTGAGCCCCGTATATGGGAATAGGCTCACCCCCTATTACATGGAAGTCATAACATAAATAGTGAAAAGTGGGTGTTGCATTGTACAGTAGTAGATAAACATAATCATTACATTTATACATATATACATAATCATTACATTTCTAACTCAGGATTCAAATTCTACCATTACAAAGAAAAAAGTTACAAAATCATGTTAAGTAGTGTGACCTTAAACAATATTAACGATACCCCACTAAACAATCTGACATAACCTCTAAATAATTGTATCCCCCATAGTCTTGATAAATAGGTCGTAATAGTAATAAAATCAAAGTTAACACCATTCTGTTTACTGGCTTAATTAAAAAGTAGTTTCATTGCCTCATTGGTCAATTGTAGGTAACATTAAATAATGTAATCTTCGATAAATCACTACATAGTAATAAAACAAAGTCGCTATCCGCCGTCTGTCTGTCCCTATGTATGCTTAGATCTTTAAAACCACGCAACCGATTTTGATGCGGTTTTTTTCATAGATAGAATGATTCGTAAGGAATATTTGTATGCATAATACATGCATATTGCACTCGTGTGAAGCCGGGGCGGGTCACTAGTCTCCGATAAAAGAAACATAAGAAATAAACTTGGTTTTGAGTTTAATTCTTGTGTATTATTTTTATTTTTAAAGAGTTTTAAAAGTTTAGTACACCTGCTTGCGTAGAATCATATAACTAACACCTTTGTCTTATCTATAGATTTAAATGATGGAATAACAAGAATATAATGGAAAAATCAATAAAAATAAAACAAAAAACCAATTAGGCGTTAATTATATGTCTCATTTCACTTAACGACGAAGCCATAAAACGCCACAAACCATCCTTATACATAGCATAACATCATCACGACTTTTATCCCCGAAGAGGTGGGCAAAGGTGCACATCACGGCACTTAATGCCACTGTGCAAAAAGACACCCACTTTTCACTATTTATGTTATGAGTCCCATGTAATAGGAGGTGAGCTTATTGCCATATACCGGGCACAATTCCAGACTCTGTGCTACTACTGAGATTTTTTATAAAAAACACAGTAATACTTTGCACGATTGGACGACACGATAAAAGCACAGTAATACTGACACTTGTTACGACCCGAAAATAGAACCCGAGACCCCTTGCGCAGCAGTCGCTTGCAACCACTCGGCCAACAAGGCAGTCGCCGTCCAATTATCAGACCTCAGTTATGAAATGCAAAAGAAAATTAAACAGCTATGAAATAAATAAAATATTAATCCTTTGCAAATAGATAACAAGTTTTAAAAAGGAAATTTGAAAACGTAAATAAGGAGTGAAAACTCAAAGTAAAAGTTAATGGCTACAGCTTCTTAGAAAGAGTATTTACACAGCAAACCCAGCTCAAGTTAATCCTGGTTTGCTTGTAAATATCACTTAAATCTGAATGCTATCTAACTATCAACTTTTTTGTAAACTACACAAGGTTTAATATTAACTGCGACTTCGTACGCGTATAACCCATTTTTTCCCGTCCCCGTTCGTGATTTTCGGTAAAAAGTAAAAAAAAAAATTGGTCAAAAAGTATCCTATGTCGGTCTCCTGGCTCTAAGCTACCTCCCTACTAATTTTCAGCCAAATCTATTCTGCCGTTCTTGAGTTATAAGTGGTGTAACTAACACGACTTTCTTTTATATATAGATTAAACGTCATCATCATTTGACAAAAATTAAAAGGTATTTCATTTTTACTGAGCTTTTTTTAAACCCGATTATACTTATCTTAATATTAAGTCCACCTATTGTACATTAAGTGCACGAAGCGTTTAAATAAATAAATAGACTTTTGTCATTATTTTTATATATTTTCTGTCAAAATTTGATCCTTATCCACATATTCTGGATTGAGATCATTGTAATTGACAGCTAGTCCGGGCTATTTTGGACACACGACATAGTTATGTACCTATGTATGTAGGTACTTTGCGACAGTGGTGAATAATACGGGACTCAATCAATTAGAGTTGATCAAAATCGGTTTAACGATTTACGCCTCTAAGCTTAGCAACCAAACTTAGACGCATAATATTATTACAATGCCTACGTTAAGTTCTTTAAGTTACGTAGGTAGTATTACAGCATTCTAAAAATACTTCACAACTTTAATTTCAGCGTTCAGTGTTGGCAGTATAACAACGTTTTCGAACGAACTCATTAACTTATACAACACTTACAAACTTTGACGTTCTTTATTTTTAAATTAACGGAAAATTATTCGTTGTGGCAACACTGAGCAACTGTCAGCGACTAGCCGCTGGTTGGTAACAAAATATCAAAGCGGACTGAGTTCTACGAAGTTTAAAAAAATACTGTGTAAAGTAGGGATCCGTTAAATTTTTTGTTTACGTGTTTTTTGAAGTAGGTACAGAATTCAAAATTATAGGTTTTATGTATATTATAATTAAGTTCAATTTACTAAGAAATTATTGCTTGGGACGCTCTGTAATAATGCCTAGATAAGACCGGGTGGTCATTCTCGTTTTCTAACAATGAACCCCTGTCATGTTTTTCAAATTAAGTCTCCACATACTACGTACATATTATCTTCAAACCAATCGACACAAAAATACATAAGTACAACATACGTGTTGATTTTCCCAACACATTTTACACAAACCAATATGGAAATCAGCGAACATTTGAACAAATTCTATTGATTCTGAGAACAAACCTCGCCGGGTCAGCTAACATAACAGACGGATCCTACCAACACGTAACACAGCCATAATTTCGAGAACCGAAAAAAAAACAAACAAAACATTATAATTATGATAATTTTATCTTCAGTTAGCCTTAGGCATTTCGTGAAATGAGGGGGCGAACGTTGTTCGACGTATTATTTATATAAAAAGCCCTTAGGTACTGAGATATTAGGATACAAGGTCTTTTTTACATTATATTATACTCTCATTGACGTCATAGTCTGTAATCAGGTAGGCGAAGCCAATGCTTTGTTGTTAAATATTTTTAGAAAACAAATATTTTCTGTAGTAATATATGTAATGAAGAGTTTGTTTGTTTGGATTCGAGTATTCTCTGGGGTTGGTATTTACGTATAAATGTGGTATACGTAGGTACCCATGTTTACATTACGGCTTATTGTACTCTATATGCGTTGACAGACGGCTCTAAAATATAAAATAAAAGTATCCTTCTAAGGGCCGATTTTTAATCATTGGTAAATGTTTGACTGTAGTATAAAATTGACGTTTGACACTTTTTGTTATGAAAGAATTGTCAAATGTTCAAAGTTATTCGTCAGTTAAAATTTATCTGGCGTTGTAATAATTGGCTTGATTTTAGTTATAGTTATCTAACTAAAATCAAGCGTAATCAATTAGGGCCCTATATTACTAATTCGAATTTCAAAATTAAAACTTCCAAAGATACTTACAACTACAAAAAAATACCTAGGCCTTTTTAAAACAACTTACTACGACGTTTAAATAAATAAATATATAGAACATTCGCCATGAATCTGCGGGCAAGAACTAGTGAAGAAAATATAAAAGAATACGTTTTTATTAGCTCTGGTATAATGTTGTAACTGGAATTAGGTAACAGCAGAAATAGCCCTCGTCCCATTTCCAATAACTTCAAAGTCAAAGTCAAAATCATTCATTTCAATTAGACAAGAAAAGCATTTTTGAACGTCAACAAAAAAATTAACAGTGAATCTATTTGCTCATTCCAAGGTGTAGATTCCTATGGAGAAGAACGACCAAGAAACTCCATAGGTTACTCTTTTTTAATAAGGTTTACAATACAATTCTCTAGTTACATAGTTTTTTATTTGGATTGTGCGAAAACAATGTAACTTTTTAATAATATTTTGTACGATAATTCCAAATACAATACTGTTACTAAGCGAATATATTGGTGCCTACTATATTTCTTTTGTCCCTTGGTTCTTTAACTACATATTTCAAATGAAGGGATTGTCTTTACCAGATTCAATTGAACGTCAACTTCAGTATAATACTTATATTATTTCAATAGCTTTGGATAAGTCATGGAAATAAAGATTATGTATGTTCGTTCAATGTGACTTTAAATAAATGTGACAGTTCTAGTTGAAACATTAAAACATTATTTATTATAAATAATGTTTAAAACATTATAAATGCGTAATTGTATTTATGTGTCTTTCACGCCGCACTGCAATTTTAATAATAGGTATGACTTAAACTTCATTTTTGTTTGGACCGTCTTTTTTTAAGGGGGGAAAATCATCGAATGACTGCTCCCGCCTGGGTGAGGCGGAAGGGAGTGTCAGACACTTACTGACTAAAAACCACCCCGTTCCTTCTCCTGCACGTCGAGCCGGAGCCCCGGTTACCCGTTAGGTTCTCTGCGACGTTTGGACCGTCTAACCGTCTACCGTCTAATAAAACTATTGTTTTATTTCAATTCTTCTTGTTACTTCGTGTCTAATATCTTTGATGTCTTATAATGTCTATATATCATTATATGTAATATGCTATAGGTAGATATTAAGATGAGCACATTTATCGCATTGGGCATTAACCTGTAAAGATAAATGTAAGTGGAAATAAATAAATAAATAAATAAATAAATAAATATGATGTCTTATATGTACAAAAACAAAGACATTATAATCTTATAATATTTATAATGTCTTTGTTTTTGTACTCAGAATAGATGAGTAACGAAATATTAGTGTTATATTTA